TTCCATTAAAGCTCTTATGTTAATCCCTATCATAGTTGTGACGAGAGCAATCTCGCCACATTGTATTGGAGAAGCCTGGTTGCTCGCCTGCTGCCTTTGGACTATGGCCCCATGTTAAAAGACATCTTTTTCCCTGCAGAAAATACTTATTCGTGCTTTTCTGCCTGGTGTTCGGTAGATTCAATCTACCGAACATCCGCACGAATGACTAGACCACCTGGGAGCTGGAGTGTGCCGGCAATTAGCCTCCCTGAAGCTGCGGTTAACCGCAGCTTAATTGACGAATGCTGGGTGGCCACCATTCGTATCACGAACACGAGGTCGCGGCCATTTTAAACACGCGAACGCACAGCGGTGTTCGACGCTTAATTCATGGAACTAAAAACGGACACAGTTTTGCGCGAACACCGCTGAAGCCGCCGACCTCCTTTCTTGTTCGGTGGAAGTGCACGAACGGCCCGGTGTTCGGTAGTTTTACTTGACTATGATATACCCCAGATAGGAATCCTAGGGAGCCCATTCGCATGAAAACTGACTGTGTAAAGACTTTGACTCCATGGCGATTACACTGTATTCGTGTGGTCTGAGCGCCATTCGCTTAATAATGTGCGCTCAGACCTGAGCTATCTGGGGACATGTTAAATGTATAGTTTTATTGTAACTGGTGTCATACTGTGTATTTTAATAGTAATTCATGTTTTAGTATCCCCACGTGCATAATGGCGATTTGCCTTTGTCTTGGGAGATAATGGAATTATTTCTCAATTATCTCCAAGGCAGAGGGCAGGAAGACAGGATGCATTGTGGGAATATAATGTGACTGTGTGTCCTATTTGTCTACTTGTCTGTCTTTTGTCACAGTCTCCCATTTGGTCCCCTAGGGGAGTGTCCACCAGGTGGGAGACCTGCATAAATACTGGGCAGGTAGCCATCATTAAACAGACCACTGCTTGACCCTCAACACGGAGCCTTGTCTCGTCTTTGGGGGGATTTACTGGACGCTGATAGAGACTGATTGCTAGGAGTGTAAGCCGCTTGGATGCTTTTCCTATTCGTCTGCTAGCAGCAATTCGTATGGTTCCAGTTCGTGTGTTTGGAGTGCTATATTGTATGCCGTTCGGGAATTTGGAGCATTCCCTTATTGGCGGTTCGTGAGTTTGGTGTTCTACAGTAGCTGTGCCTGCATCTCTGGAAAGGGGGACGATCGCCTAAACGGTTTTTACCCCTTGTGTGCAAAACGGTCCGTTACAATTGTGGTTTAAAAAAACAAACAAACAAACAAACAAGGCTTTCCCGGCACAAATAGTCTAATCTCTGCTCAGCAGCATTCCTCTATAATGTAGATGAATGCCAATGGCTGAAAGCACTGGGGCTACAGTGGTTATGGTGCATACAATGACTCATTTAGGAATTGCTAACTCAGAGATTTCAGAGCTGTTACAACTTGACATCTAATGAATTTGCAACATAGAGACATCATAGATGCCAAACACAATTGAACATCATGCAACTCTGTTATACTGATCCATTAGGTCTTTTATTAGTACAGACACCGCAAATCTTATAACAGCAATATAGCAATATCTAACAAAAAAGATAATCATATGGACAGAAATACACTTGATGCCCCTTTTAAAGAGAATACATTTTTACATTATGTCCTAATGTTTGAACCATAATAGCCAGGGTTTTATTATGGCATAGGATTATCAACTGTCTTTAAAGGTTATAGACTTGTAGGTTTATTTTGAGCCAAATTTAAATTCATCCAAATTCGACCCTGAACATGCTCATTTTGATTTGTGAGTCAGATTCTTTTCTGTCACCAATAAATAAGGAAGGAGACACTTTTATTGGTGGGGGAAAATAAGCATTTTAATGTGCTATTATAAACAAGGTCTGCATAATCATTGAAAAAAAAAAAATGAATGTATTCATAGATGACATGTTATATCTGACCAATAGAGGGAATTAAAGAGAAACCATAAAACAATCTTCCAAGAATGATTTTACCAGACACTTTGACTGCAGCTACTGAAAGAGACAGACCAGCAGCATTTTACCTTTTCTGTACCAGTATCGTAGCGGGAAATTACCTGGGCCATTGATTATAGTATGAGGCTAGGTTTTGTTTGCTTCTGTATCTAGCTAGCTTCTGCAAGTGGCACTTGAAACAACTCTCAGCACCAGACGAAGGCACATGTTTAGCGCTAATACACGCATCAGGTGTTTTGCTTTTTTTCACTTGTGATGGGTGATAGCACTTACAATATGCTTTAGGTAGGACTTGTTGTTTAGAGAAGTATTGGGTTTCGGCTAATCATTCTCCGTACTCTGAGATATTTTATTAACAGAATTTTTCATTAACACAAGTTAGCAAAAGGGATATGATTACAATTAACCATTATAAAGCTTTTCAAGTCATATTCCATTTTTTAGACCAGATATACAGTATAATAATCTAATTTTGGCATAAAAAAATTTGTAATATTGCGCAGCCATTAGGCCAGGCAATATTGTAGCCATCTTTAGTCATACGCACATTTATAAACTACCAGCCTTTGGTACAAACAATAAAAGTGCAAGGCTTATATTGCACAAATTTTCATTGTGCAGATTTTTCTTGTGAGTGTCAGTTGTGCTATATGTATTATTATTTTATGCATTAAATACTACACTATATGTTTTTTCTCTCTTTTTTTCTTTGTTCTCCCCTTTTTTCCTTTTCTTTTTTGTTTCTATTATTTTTGATCTTCCTCATTCATTGTTATTAATTCTGGGAGTACCCTAACAACCAGTTACAGGTAATATTAAATTGCGCTATTTTACAGTGGGTTGTGTAGGCACTCTAAGCACTTTTATTATGTGCGCCAAAGGCTTGGTATATTGTATATACATTATTTCCACATGTTACAGGTAGAAACGTACGGTTCTGTTTTTTTTGCAGCACAATAACTTTATCACATTGTTCAAGGTTGCACCTTTGTATATTATATAGGGACATTTATTTCCCACTTTTTTGACTGCCTGAATTGCTTCTCTGAATTTTTGCATGCTGAGAGTTGGCACCAGCCGAACCACGACATAAACTAGCTTTTGCCATCCCAAAATGGTTTTCTACTTAAGTGGCTTGGAAGAATCATATTTTTTTGCCCCACGCCAAGTATATTTTAAATACACAAAATAGAAATGGCAGATATCAGTTCTGTTTGTATAGGTTATATGAAAATAAGACTAAATGTCTGGGTACCAGTGGCTTATTCCACTAACTCTTTAGCAACACATTACATACTCCAATAGGGCATTAAGTAATAATAGTAAGGAGCACATTGCTTAATCTTCCTTAAAATTGTGCTTAGCAGGAGTTATTAGGAACAGGTGTCTTGTCATCAGCTTGAACACTGTACACATGCTATGTCTTTATTAGAATGTTAAAAAAATAAATCTTGCTAAGAACTGTAGCTAATATTTTAAATGCATTGTAAAATAGTGTTGCCTTTAAATGCATTCTTTCTTATTAAAAAAAAAACAAAAAAAAACACAGGGCTGGATTCTGTTGCTAGTTAGAACGTAATACTGGTGACATAATGACAGATTTTTCATCAAAACAGTATTGTGGGAAATGGAAAATTACCAGAGATAAGCTTATTTCTTGTAAAATAATCTAGTCCATAGTGCATGAATGAAGCTGGACACACTGATGCTACCCCATTTAAATGAACAAAACATTTCCAGATGCAATTGCATTCAACGATTCTTGCTTTGGTCTGAGGGAGGTTGGCATTTTCAAGTGTGCCCACAGTTACAGACTCTGGGTGGCATTGTAACAGATGGGGAAATGAGACAGTGTATATGTCATAGTGAGTACTTGGTACCTTGAGGGCATTATGCACTGACACTGTATTTTTCTACATTATGTTCTCTACTGAGCTGGAGTAGCAATAGAGAACAGACATCACAATAACAGTGGCTGGAGTTCATTTTGTTTCTAACTAGGAATTGCATTGCTTTTAATTTAATTATTTGGTAGAATTGTGATACAATGTTTTTCCAATTTTTTTACTTGATATTTGAACTATATGTTTAGGACACAGATTGTCATCCTAAGCATTGGTTATAGATTTGCTTTTTTATTTGAGAGGTGATTAAAATAAACATTGCTATCTGCAAGTTTCATTAGTTTTTTCTTGTTTCTTTTTTTTTTTTATAAATTGTTTATTTTTTGTGCATGGGTTTAAGTAACAAGCATTCATGCTGTGCCACAACAGCAGTAACATGTATTGAAATAGACATAACAGTATAACAGTTGAGGAATAGTAAATCGATGCACATTTTTGTATAAGGGTTATCAAGAGAAAACAAGATGATAGTCAGTGGTGCGACAACATATCAAGTAATAAACATATCAGGCTATTCTGGCTGACTATATGAGTGTAGCTTGCGATATTAATCGAGTGTTGTGAATGTGACATAGGTTAATAATTAGCTCGCTATGTGAGGTGTCCGAGCTTCATGGGATTTAGTCCCAGGCTATGTGCTTCTATGTGGTCTGCAGGTACTGTAATGAGTTAGAGAGAGCTTAACATGCACATATGTTATAGACATGGTGGTAGTGTTGTACCTTATATCTATGTTAAACAACGCCAAGGGTGCAGTGTTCTATAGTGTAGTGTTGGGGGATAAAGAGCATGTGACTGGGGGTACATTAAGTGTTGTGATAAAAACACACTGGCGTCAACTAAGTAAACTGAACTTTAGTAATTTATAAAGAGAGACATCAGATGGTAAGAAGCAGGATAGCGTTCGTTTTGTGAAGGTTGCACGCAATATCCCTTGGCTGACCATGGGTGGGGTGGGTGGCCCTTGAGTTCTTGCAGTTGTGACATTTTAGCCAACATCTGCCCGAGGGTTCTCAAAGTCCCAGATTATGTGCTGCAGGTTGAAGTGTTGTGGCCCTTGTTTGGGCCAATGTAGCCCGCCGGGGCGTAGGGGGAGTGAGTCTAGTGATTGCATACCTCGCTCCCTCGGGACCGCAGGATCAAGTCTGCTTGAACAGTGGGTAGTGGAGGTATTTCGCCCCTTGTTGTGCTACCTGTTTCTTGTGCCATGCGGTCGCAGAGGTCTCTGCTGATTCCCAGCTTCTCGATATGGCAGACTTGGGTGTGCCCTCGGAGCAGCTGCAGGGGGTCGGCCACATTGATGATCTTTGCTTTGCCGCTCGGGGTTTCTCCCTGTTGTGCCTGCCGGTGACACCCTTTGTGGGGGGGTGCTCGCAGTGAACCAGGGCGCTGATGGCAAAGTGTTCGTTTGCGGCTTGTGCGGTGCTTCAGGGTGAGTCCTCGGTCACTCAAGAGTCCGGGCTGGCCATCTGCCCGAGTAACAGGGGCCCGTGGGTCAGGTGTGCTCTTGATTTGTCGCTGTTCCGTTCCCCGCTCCTTTACCTCACGCGTTGCAGGGGATGACGGTTGTGCGCTTTTTTCACATAGTTGCATCCTTGAAAAAGAGGCGCTGGCCCAGTTGACCAAGATGCGGCCGCCATTTTGTTCGTCCAGGTGCCGTTTCCATCTGCACCCGGGCGGGTGACAAGATGCGGTGTAGCCGTGTGCTCTGGGTCGATGGGGACCGGGAAGACCCCCGCCGCTCCATGGGGGGGGCGGGGGTTCCACAAGGTTGTGTCCAGCTGGGTATGTTGTTCTGGGAGTGGCCCTCTCCCTTGCACCATCCTTGCTGGTATGCCGCGGCTTCTGAGTTTGTGGGTCCGGTGAGTTACACCACATATTTGGTATCTCCTTATAGCTCCCCAGTCCTCTGTCATTTGGGTTACAGATTAAGTCCGGTTCTGGCCTCTGTCAGTGTGGATTGCAACAGAATGGGCTTTTCTTGTTTCTTGAATACAATTGCTTGCAATTGTACATATGTGCCATCTGTGTAAATAGAGGGTTTAACTTTTCTTGTAAATTAATGCAAGCATCATGTTACATAAACTGTTTGAATATGAAATATTCAGTTTAAGGATTTACATTGATTCATTTTAAACACTTGAATGTAATATTACTTAAGCCTGTTCTGAATGTTGAATGTGCTCTACATTAATAATGTTACTGATGAGAAATCAACATAAAGTAGGAGTAGAAATTGATGCTGATGTCATTATGTTGCTCATCTCAAGGGATTGCACTGTGAGTCAGCCTTTCGATTCAAAAGGTACAAAAATCAAAAGTCAGAATGTATTATTTGTTACTGGCTGTGTTTAACAAAACTACAGAGAAAATTCTATGTTCTCCTGATCACGTTTTAGAATCTGTTTCCTTCAGATCTCATATCTGTGTTCTTTTTCTTTGCAGGTCCCTGACCAGAGAGTGGTACTTAATGGGAGGAGTCATGCTTCACGCAGCCAAATTTTGCTGGCAACTACTTCTGTGTGTGACCATGGTCTTGGTCTATTTGGGATTTTCAGTTGGCTGTCCAGCACGTTGTGAGTGCTCAGCACCAAACAAGTCTGTCAGCTGCCATCGCAGACGTCTCATTTCCATCCCAGAGGGCATACCTATTGAGACTAAAATCTTGGATCTAAGCAAGAACAAATTAAAAAGTGTGAATCCAGAGGATTTTTTGTCTTATCCTCTACTGGAGGAGATAGATCTTAGTGACAATATCATCTCAAATGTGGAGCCTGGAGCTTTTAATAGTCTTTTCAATTTGCGCTCTTTACGCTTAAAGGGAAATCGCTTAAAACTGGTATCTTTAGGAGTGTTCACAGGTTTGTCGAACTTAACAAAGCTTGATATAAGTGAAAACAAGATAGTCATTTTACTAGACTACATGTTTCAGGATCTTCATAATTTAAAATCCCTTGAAGTTGGAGATAATGAATTAGTTTATATAACGCACAGGGCCTTCAGTGGACTTCTTAGTCTGGAGCAACTTACTTTGGAAAAATGCAATTTAACGGCTGTACCAACTGAGGCTCTGTCTCACCTCCATAACCTTGTTAGTCTACATTTGAGAAAACTTAACATTAATACACTCCCTCCAATTGCCTTTAAGCGATTGTTCCGTTTGAAAATTCTTGAAATAAGCAATTGGCCTTTGCTGGGTATGGTACCAGCTAATAGCTTTTATGGACTGAACCTCACTTTTCTCTCAATAACCTATACTAATATATCTATGATACCTTATCATGCTTTAAAACATCTAATTTACCTGACACACTTAAACCTGTCCTTTAATCCTATTAGCGTCATTGAGACGGGTATACTAGCTGACTTGGTGCGTCTTCAGGAGCTGCACTTGGCGGGAGCTCAGTTGCATACCATTGAGCCACAAGCTTTCCAAGGTCTACGTTTCCTTCGATTACTTAATGTGTCTCAGAATCTCTTGGAAACAATAGAAGAGAATGTTTTCCATTCACCTAAAGCACTGGAAACACTTTGTATTGATAACAACCCACTAATTTGTGATTGCCGCCTCATGTGGATGCTACAGAGACATCCTGCATTGAATTTTGGAAGCCAACAACCAATGTGTGCCAGTCCAGATAATGTTCGAGAAAAAGCTTTCAAGGAATTTCAAAGCACTGTATTGTCTTTTTACTTTACGTGTAAAAAACCTAAGATACGTGACCGGGAAATGCAGGAGTTGTACGTGGATGAGGGCAAGAGGGTACAGATGAATTGCAATGCAGATGGAGATCCTCAGCCTATGATTTCTTGGGTGACCCCACACAAGAGGATGGTTTCATCTAAAACCAATGGAAGAGCCACTGTGCTTGTAAATGGCACATTGGAAATAAGGTACGCCCAAGCTGAAGACACTGGAACATATGTCTGTGTTGCTAGCAATGCTGCTGGAAATGATACCTTCTCAGCTTCACTTACTGTGAAAGGATTTGTATCTGACCGTTCATTTACAAACATAACACCAATGTCTATTACAGAGCTAAATGAAACCAACACCAATGGAACCAATGCAAATATGACATTTTCACTTGACCTTAAGACTATATTGGTGTCTACAGCAATGGGTTGCTTTACATTCCTGGGAGTGGTTTTGTTTTGTTTCCTACTCCTTTTTGTGTGGAGCCGAGGGAAAGGGAAGCATAAAACCAGCATTGACCTGGAATATGTTCCACGCAAAAACAATGGGGCAGTAGTGGAAGCTGATGTTACAGGTACAGTACCCAGGAGATTTAATATGAAAATGATCTAGCAGATTGTTGCCAGTAGAGATACATTTTCCTGTGGCAATGTTTCTACCCACTAATACAGCCTAGCAATTTGGATTGCTGGGTCAATACAGCTGCATTCAGCTGTCACTGTGTCAAAATGGTTTTGTGAAACTGGAAAGCCTGTCTGACTGCCCTAAAGAACTCTGTGACCTAGGAGCAGAAACACCAAGGGCATTCCACTGAGCTGTTCCACTAGTTGTTTGCATTGCAAATATTTGCATTCTGGGGATCTCAGTAACAAACTCTTGGCTCACGCTCATGGACAACTAACTGTTCAACATTTTCTACCATTATGAGAAAAAAAAAAAGAAAACAAGACAAACAAACCTACAGTGTAGGGTTGACTTATAAAACATGTGTCCAAAACATATTCTCCAGTGTAATTTGTATCTATAGATATCATTTGTTAAAGCTAACTTCATTTTTTCTTGTTGTGTTTTTCGCACTACAATCAAATTGATATTGCTTATTTTATACAAATGCCACGCCCATCGTGAAGCAATACAAAACAACATATTGTGCTTTTTCTCCACTGGTGATGACTTCAGTGTAATCGTCCATCACTCTAATTTTTTTTCTTTGAGTGCCAGTAGGGCTGTTTTAACACCCTGTCTGGAACCCAAAGGGTTACTCTCACAAATGACAAATGAATCAAATGACTAAGATAATGTGGGAGCAGGCCTGGATTCTGTATGAAACTCTGGTGATAAGATTCTTTATCAAATTGTGTTGCTGGCTGGAATTATATTACTATTTTCTATGATAATGCTCTTACTGAAGCATCAGTTTGATACTCTCTAAAAGTTTAAAAACAAAAAGATTATTTTAATTTACAAAATAAAAAAAATAAAATATATATAAATATATATAACTCTCATATAAACCGAATGACATCAGCAGAGTTCATAATGTGTTATCCATGGTACAAATTGATTAACAAGGCTGGGCAAGGTGATCTTTAACATGGCAGCCAGGTAATTAAATCCTGCAAAGGGTTACAAGCTTCTCTTTTTATTTAATTTTTTTTTTTTTTTATTTACATGTTTTTATTTGCCTGCACCCAAGAAAATATTTGCAAACAAAGAAAACACAAAATAAAAAAAAATCTTTGAGTTGTATTAACTTGTGTCCATGTTTATAAAGACAAACCTGATATTTGATACAGAGCTGAGATATTTTTTTAAATCTAGAATCACAATTGACCAATTTACTGTAAGAAATATATATATGTATCTAGTCTGCATCATAAAGTATCAAAGCTAATAATGGCAGGGATAGACAACGGGTAGCCCTCCAGCTGTTGTCAAATAACAGCTCCCCTTAACTGTCTAGTAGTATACTACCTCCTATTACAGGAGTTAGCCAAAAGGTACACATTCGGCTGTTTGGGTGTAGTTATCTATAGAAGATAGTGAGAGAAAAAAAGCACAGATCAAAACAGAAATGTCTTCAGTAAGTTTCAGTAAAAGCTAATATTTTAATATTAGAAGTAATGCTAATATATATATAAGTCAGAATGAAACTTTACTGTGGAATACTGAAAAATAAAATTAAACAAGCATTATGAATATGTACTCTCAAATCACAGTGAGAAAAGAAAATTACAAAAAGCCATTTAAACACTAGTTTTGTTTGTTAAAAGAGAAATTACTATTTTTTTTACATATATAAATGTTATTATCATGATGAAATGTTACCATATCTGTGTTTAAATGATATGCCCAAGGAAAAAAAAAATTAATCTGGAGTAAACATTATGCATTGCAGAAAATTGTATACTGTAATATCTAAGACAAGTGTATAATTATTTATAATTACTAAAGTGACTATCATATTAAGGAAATTAGAATTATCAAGATGCATTGTTTATCTGTATGTTCTGGCTACAAAATGGGAAGGTATTTGTGTTAAATCCATAAAGGTTATGACCAAAGGGCTCAGCAATGCTTTTGAAAACCATAACTGACCCATCTCGACCCAGCTTCATGATGTCCCATTACCGCACATTTGATATGCTATCTTACATTTACTGCATAGAGAAGTAACAGAATATTAATGTTCCAGTCAATGCTATTATCTGTGCGTTGTATTCACTTTTTGCTTTGAATGCTTAAATTCCATTTCTTTTTATAGTTATAAATAAATGAAATACTGATAGCAGTGGAAAGTGGCAACAATTGTTGAAGCAAGAAATAAAAGTCGGTTGTTCTTTATCTTGCGGAAAATGTTGGACTCCATACATTAAAAATAGAAATTAATGATGTCATGAGTGTGATAATGTCATATAAAATTTGTCTTTGTTATAAATGTGCTCCACTATTTGAAAAAAAAACCTTTTTTTCTTTTTATTTATACTTTATTATTCAGGTTTGCAAAACAGCACAAAAAAGAACTGATAAGAAACGTAGTGCTTTCCGTTAGAGCCTTTCTACTCAAATCTAGGCTTGATGTTTGTATGCAGGCCGTGATTTGAAAATATGAAATGATAAAGATAGACTACTAAGAAACCTGGGACTGTATAAGTCCCTAGATAATTGCAGTTAACACACTTGCTGTCGAATATCCATACAGGAACATGCTAATTAAACTTTAAATATTTTATTATAAGTGTGTCAAGTTACAATGAATTATCAAGCATTGGGCATCTTGCTTTTTTTTTTATCAATATTTTGTACTGAACACATTTTATTTTGCATTAATTATATCAGTAATTGCTAACCCAGTCCACCAACACAGGATTTTGGCTTTTCCAAATTTGTCAAAATGGGTATACTGAAAAAAAAAAAAGTCTGCACCATTTACTGGGGTTTGGAGCCATTGATTTATGACACCTCGAATAAGCAGTTATTCTTGGCATAGTTTTAAAAGGAAAAAATAACAGAATCTAAATTAGACTGTCGCTTCAAAACTTTACATGAATAAAACAAGTATACACATTATATTTATGGTTATGGGTTTACATTTTTAATAAAACAACTTCATTTTTATTTTCTGTAACTGAGTTGAAAATATAAGGGTTGAAAGCATAACTAAACTGCCTTTTGATCAGATAACTTATACCAAAAAAGGGAAAAGATAAAAAAGGAAGTAGTGTGAATGGTACTTGAAATAATCATAGCATGATGAGTTTCACACCAGGTAGATTTAATTTGTTAAAATATCCTAAAACTTACTGAACCATGTTAATATTATGTATGGACAGTTTTTTGTGCTCAGATGAATGATTTAACAATAAATTAACTTTAAATTTAAGATAATATAATTTACAATATAAAAAATATTAGCAGCAGAAAAAATATCCAATGCATTCAACAATATCAGAACAAAAATCTTAATGTTAAACATGTTTTAAATGTCAGCTAAACTCCACTTTTACATTCTATTTTATCTGGAACATAACTGTATTTAAAACGGAATGCTGCATTAGGCGAATAATAAAAAAAAACATTTTTTTTAACAAAAATATTACAATACCGTTTTCATTTACATGCCTCAAATAAAGCTACAGCTTCACAAAATTGTTATATATTACTTTTCTAAATTGTTTCATATGTTTAGCATGAAGAGATGACATTTTATTGCAGGTAAGCTTGTAGACATTCATGCTGCTTTATGCAGCCACACTGATTCATCAACTTGTGAGTTCATTAAGACATATTTTAGGCGAGAGTAATTTCAGAAACAGCCATGAATAAGCAATATTAAATAACATGGCAGGAGGTAAAATATCCACACCTGGTATAAAAGAAAACTTATCAATGTTCCATCATTATCATTATTAATAAAATGAAATCCCTGATTATTGCAATAGAATATTGAAAATATCACTGACTCTTTTGATGAATGCAAAACGTATTGTGGAAAATGTATTTTATGTTATGTTCATGTCAAATGTATGGTAATATCAATTTATAGAAGTCATTAAATTAGAGATGCACCCTGAAAATATGTGATTTAAATAAATGGAATGGTTTCTAATAAAAAATTTAAGCAATACCAAAAACATAGATCTACACAAAAATAAAAACAATCACTAACCCATCTTAAGGTGCAACGCAATACCCACATAAGAAAACCTTCCAACGTGCAGACTGTAAATTACTGTTTTCATGATATTTTATTTAAAAAGCAAGCATTTATACCACTGGTCATTATCATCATATAGCACAGGCTGGTGTGCCCACCGGTAACATTCCCAGTGGCTAGGCTAACTTACATGTTTTGAATAATATTATTTCAATAACTGCCATTCAGAGTGACAAGTTATCTTCATGTGACAGGCTACTGTGTCCACTAATGGTCATTCACATACCAACATTTGGGGAGTGCAACCAACATTTATGTTTTTACAGACACACATACACTAGCTGACAGACACACACTGACAAACACTCTCAGTGACAAACATGCATACACACACTGACAGACACAGATACACACATTGTCACACACTGAAACACGCATACACACACTGACAGACATGCATACACACTCACACATACTGACAGATGAACTCTCACTGACAAACACACATACACTCTTAGTGACAGACACACAAACAATCATTAACAGACACACACAAACACTCACTAACAGACACACACACTAACAGACAATAACACTCACTAACAGACATACACTTACACACTTACTAACAGACACACACACTATTAGACAAACACACTTACACACTCACTAACAGACATACACACTAACAATTCTTTACATTTAAAAAAAAAAAAACTCAATCCACCCAGCATCTCAACTTTTGGAGTGCTGAAGTGGATTCTTCCCTTGGGTCCAGTGGGGCTGCTGCTGCTGGCATGGCTGGAAGCACGGGCGCGGAGGCAGGCACATAGTGGAAACACGCAGCAAGAGAGCTTTGATCCTCCCGCTCAGCTCCCTCGCTTGCCTCTTAGTAATACCAGAGACGGAGTAAAGTGAGAAGGAAGAGCTCAGGGAGAATGCTCCCTCACCACTC